CCGCTCTATGGCATCGGAAAGTTCTTAAGCCACTGCTGTTATAAAAACATGGAACGCAGAAGTCCAGGCGTTGTCTATCACGCCAACAAAAACTCGTGGATGACTCGCCACGTGTTCAAAGTATGGCTGGAAGTCTTGTTAAACAAGTTGCCAATCGCAAGGTCATTCTGATCCCCTACAACTGCTCCGCGCACATTAAGGAGGAGGATCTGAAAGACGCCGGAATCACTCTGCAGATTGCAATGATGTTGTATTATCCGCCCAATGCGACCAGCAAGATTTAATCCTGCGACAATGAAGTTATACGCACTTTCAAAGTATATCACCGCATGCGCTTCAATCGCCAGCTGCTGGATCGCCTTTAACAAAATAGACGGACGCAGCAATGGTAAACGTCTTGGAGTCGATTCAGATGACGCATGCAGCATGAACTCTGGATTTACATCATTAGTGCTTCCTTAACAGCTTTACGCACTGCAAACTACGCACCTCTGACATGACTACGCTGCAAACCCCAACGTGGACGTCCCGCGGGCAGTCGTAATGGATCTCCCGAGAAAAGCTCAATAAAATAATTGCAATTCGATGTTTATCGACTCCCTGCTCAACAATCTCGACGAAAAGCAGGTTCGATGCACTCCGACAGAGACATAAATTTTCGAGAGCATTCAATTGCCAGAGTCAGCACGTGGCAGCTACTGCAAGGAGGACGATAGCGTGGTCGCACCGCCCGTACCTCTTTGGATTGCTGCATCGATGCTTGCAGAGCTCAAGACTTTTTAGTTGCAGCAGGAGACTTATACTGAAGATGCAGGATTGGGTGGGAAAGATTTAGCAAAAATTCCTTTAGCAACAAACTTTGGATGATTGTTTTGTAGTGGTCCCTCGGCAGTATTTTATATTTATATGGCGAAAAATGCTCTGGCTTTAATAATAATTAAAAGAGTATAACTAATATCTGGCCTGCCTTTTTATGGGACTCGAAACGTTTTTTGAGTGAGGGGGATTTATAAATATGAGAATAATTAATTACGTAGACTTTCCTGTATCAATCAAGAAATGGAGCAGTGCACACGATTTGAATAAATATTTTATTAGTATTTACTTAGCATGGTAAGACTTGGAGAATACGGTTTACATTGACCCAATTTGGTGTCAATTAAAGCTTCTACCCGGAACGGATTCCCCAGGGCTTTTTTCTCCGGGGGGTCACCAGGGGGGTGGGGTTTGGGGGTCCGGTAACCCCTTGGGGTCATTTAGGGTTTACATATGTTTTTTTGTATACATATCGGTATATATTGCATAGCATTTCGACAGATCTCATACCCTCTCTACATAACGACCCTCGGCAACTTCTTGTACCATTCCTGCATACACATCATCATCTCAATGGTTTTCTTGTTCAGAGATGCCCTATCATCCCTGCAAATCAAACCTCATCGAGAAAGCACGCTCGAAAGGGACACTTGTGGCAGGAATTTGTAGAAGGGCCATCGCCATCTTACCTAAACTAGGAAAATCCACCTGTGGACGGTGCCAATATCCCAAATGATACACATCCCTATCGGCCAGGTCTTCCCCCAAATACTTCTATTTCCTCGTCCACGTCGGTAATCTTCTGCCGCTTTGCGTGAATGAAATCTTTAAAATCGTCGACCTCTTCACCTGCTTCTTTAGTGGCCATGGAAAAGGCTGCATGAGTGCTGTAGCGGCTTGCAGCAACAGCAAAGCCCTCACAAATCATGTGAGTATGGATGCTATAATGTGAAAAATGTCCTGCATACTTGCTGAAGAAAAAAGTCTTGATACGGGAAACGAAAACGACGGCGTGCAGGTAAAGAGGTTTTTTAAGAGCCGCCTTGAGATACTTTTCAAGCTTTTAAATAGTGTCTCTAGCCGGCTGTACAAGCTGCTCCGAGTCGTAGGTCTGTTCCACCTGCAAGATTTAAATAGGTTTGAACACGAATATTGATATCTCGGATTCTCTACATTAAAATCATCGCTTCGCACCTTTTGCAATTGAACAATGAGGGCAAAAAAGATCGGGAGAGCCTTCTCAAGCGTGGGGAAACGTGAACCCGCAAGCTTTTCCGTGGATGTGTTAGAGGTCATAGAAACTTCATGAGCTGACCAAGCTTTTCTTATTCCTCATTTGAAAGGGCAATTTTCTAATAAATTTTATCGCTAAGGTATACTCTAGTCACGGCCGGGCTGTCGAACCGAAAAGAAAAACAATTTTGCCAATGAGTCAAAGAAACTATTTACAAGTACTAATTGTAAGTGCAAAAAGCGCGAACACATCTGGGAATTTCACCGCGCTTTGACATTGAGATTTTCGCAGTATACAGTAGAACCTTGTTGATGGTACTTCACAGCTTGGCCAAAATATTGGCGACGTTGATCAGAAGATCGTACATCGACTGACATGCCGTGTACACGCTTTTGGACCGTAGCCAAGTTGACATCGAAACCATCAAGTTGGGTGGTGATGTTGTGTACTGACATGACACATGTGGCGGCGGAATCCTCCTCTTCATTGTTGAGGTATTCTTTCCCTCCAAGGGCCTTGATTCCATCCATTGCATCCAAAAGGTCACGTGAGTTATGCAACCAAACAGCTTTTTCTGATGGTTGAACTCCACATGCTCCATGCGGGAAAGAGCTCAAGTCATAACGAAGTTTGTGCTGGCATTGTCGGTAGTAATGGTAGAGAGGGATCCAAGAATACCATAGTTGGACAGAACGTTGTAATGCAAGTCTGCAAAATTTTAAGCAGAATGATCACCTAAAAAACATAATTGTTAAAGGTAAGCAGAAGATCTTATTGTCAAATCCCACATTACCCAGGCAATAAGGAACATGTCCATACCCATCATAGCAAGAACCCTCAGCAATGGTTCTTGAATTTTCAAGTCGGTGTCAATCCAATGAGCAGTGAGCGCCATCAAGGATTTCACGTTGGGTGAAGTCCAAGCATTGGAAGTAAAAGCGATCCATTGACCTTGGAAAGACTGATCTTGATGAATTTGCGGTGCTGAGCATACATTCGGAAAAGATGGTTCTGGATGGCGTCGGCCTTGACCATCATCTGGGGTATTTTCTCTTTACAGGTGCCCAAAAGATTGATAAAAGAGATTCGTTCGATGATGGCGAAAAGGCAGGTTGGCGTCAGCAATAAAGTATCCGATGTGAGCTTTGAGGTTCTGTCCGGTCAATACATTCTACATCATGGATTGGTTCAGTTCTTTGTAAATGTAGGTTACATGTGTTATACAAGCTCACTTCTCGAGAGTTCCCTTTTAGATATTCTTTTAAATAGATGCATTGTTCTCGTCCTTCTTCTTCGGATCGCTGAGATTGTAGACCTTTGTCGGGTGCTCGTTCAGGCTCTTAATGCTGCCGGACTTGTCAAGGTTAAGGAAGCGACCGAATGCACGGCCCGTCCTTCGGTTTGTGTCGACTTGGCAAAAGGCTGTATTGGCGTCGGCACCAGCCTCAAAATGAGTTCAAATCCAGCTACGTTTTACACTTTGAGTGGTGGGAGGCGCAAGGGATTCGATGGACACGTCGGCACTGGTTTTAGACATGGTGAATGGCAACGGGTAGAGGCAAAGAGGGCAAATGTGGGCAGAGAGGGGTTTTTGTCGTTTTAAGCCAGTGTATGTTTTATTTACTAGCGTGTTGCTTCGTCACGAGGCGACAGTAACACTAGCGACACTTGCACAATCGATGTAAATGATATGCGTTACATTACCATTGGACAGTTACACGAGGAAGACAGAGCACGTATTGCAATAGCACCCCGAAAGTCCCCCATGGGGCCCGGGATGTGGGTATCCTTTTGGGGGTGGGGTCTGGGGTGTAACGGGGTGAGCCCGTTACATAAAAATTGATCTTTTCGTATCAATTTTGAACATTATCTATTTCGATAATGTTCAATTAACATTACCCGTAAGGAGTAAGGTTGAAGGAATATTACCCCCGAGGGTAATATTTCTTTGATGGCTTGCTCCATTTGGTGGTGGATCTTCACGGTACATCAACCAGTTTTAACCACCAATCGCTGCTGGACGCGCGCAATGGGTGGTGAGCAAGAAACCCACATGGGAGATTGTAGTCTAATATAGTTAGCTCAAGACAAAAGACGGTTTATATGAGAAACAGAACTGTATCAGATACAGCTCTACTTTTTCTCTTTGACAGAGATTTCGAGTTCTGCCTACTTTTCTGCGCTTCTTCACGCCACGTGTACGTGACGTCGGGTGCACACAACCTTGTGTTGAATTGACACAAGGCGTTTCCCGCTACACGGGTGGTGCCCTCAACCCCTCAAAACAACGGGTAGAAGCCCTGGTGTCAATGACACGAAACGGGCTAACGTCATATTAGTTCGCCAAAAAAGTGGTGCGCGACATTGTGCTATTCCAACTGCATCTTGCGACTATGTTTCGTGTTTGTTGTTGCTGTTGCTGTTGCAAACAATTATATTGCGCTTGGGATCAGTAACTGATCGACGTCAACCCGTTTGGCAAATACGTCACGATCGCGTACACGCAGGGCTTGTTGGCAGGGCATTGACAAGGTAGGATGACACAAAAAACAAGCATGTCTTGCTATTCGCTATAGCAGCAAATTTCCATACCATTCGTGGTCTTTTTGCCCTCTGTGCCGTACGAACATCGCGCGCCTGATACACTTTCTTTCGCATACGTTCCGAGTGTTAAGCCGTCGATAAAACTGTTTTGATCTTTGCACTGATGAAAACAACCCGAATGAGGTGTGCGACTTGTCGAGAACTTCACAGAAATCAGATCGTTGTTTCATTTACGCGCACGCTTTTGCTGTAAAATTGAGCACACCACGTGCATGATCATGTGCCCACCACTGCGTACTCGTTGAGTCGTGGCACGACTCACAATGCCAATATCCTGCTATGTCGTGCAATGCGTTGCAATGTACAGATCGCTTCTCAAGCTGATCCACGCATCAAGCTCTGTTGCTTATTCCACGGCAACGATCTCAGCCAACTCCTGCAGTGCAGCACCGAACGAGTCATCTTGTGGACTCCGAACACCAACAGCATCCGTCCCATCCATGCTTGCACCCTTCGCGAAGCACACGCGGAAAGCACGCACTTCCATCGCCTGCAACGTCACTGATGTGCCCTTCACAGGCAGCGAACGAGGCGACCAGCCGTGAGCTTCGTCCGTTGTCTTCCACTCCAGCGTGTCAAGCTCTTTGTCCTCTCGCGACAGCTCCTTCGTGCCAGTCAGAACCAGCTCTATCACTTCCGACACCACCGAGTTCTTCACCGAGAACAGCGCGGAGAAGTCCACCGTCGCAGGCTTCGATTGACTCGAGTGCTCGTCCACCGCGTACAAGTGCGACAGACGCACCATCACACATTCCTTCGACTGCTCTTGTAGCGTTGTCAAACCTACGTTCGAAGGGAACTCGCCCACTGTCAACCACGGCACCTTCGCCTCCACGTCGGACGAAACGGGCTTACGATACGCCGTCAGCGGATGGAAAAACTGCGACTCCATCTTCGAGCGGATGCTGCGCATACCGTCATCGGCTGAGTCCACGTTGACAAAGAAGTTGCCACGGACCACCATTCCCTTCGTTACGTACGTCTTGGTGGTCTCGTCATACACCGACTCCGTCTCGTTCAGGTTTTCATGTACACCCATATTGTCGTCTGCAAGCAGGCGACGGTGAACCATCGCTTCGACCTGTCCATCCACCAAACTCGCCACCCCTTGCGCGCGGTCTGTCACCACATTCAATTGGCGCTTATCATCCTTGATGTATGCGCCTGTAGTCATGGGAAAGTAGTTGGCCGCCACTGCCTCCTGGTCGTCGTGCAGACTCAGGTTCTACGTGCCTCGATGGTTACGCACGCGCTTCATGGACTCGAGGCCGTTCGAGTCCGTATACAGTGTGCTGTCCGACGCCATGCTGTTGCTGGTGTCGAAACGCACGATCACCTCTTTGCCCTTCTTGTCGTCGATCGGCACTGGCCCCACCGTCCACTCAATCTCCAGAAACTCGTCACCGTCGCTCATGCGGTGCTCGAGCGTGACCCAGCTGCCGATCTTGAACGCGACCCGCGGTACACTGACGACGTCACCATCGACAGTAAGGCTTCTCGTCGTTTGCAGCTCCACCATTGCCACGTCGGACAGCTTGTCCGTCGTTGCTCGACTCATGTCCGTCACCGAGTGTGTCTTGTTCGAGTCCGGACGGAATACGTACGCGCCAGATTTCGGACCGTCGTCTTGGAAGGCTTGATAGTACGCAACCTCCGGCGATAGCGGGATCTGTACGTCTTTCTTCTTGTTGGTCAGCTTCGTGAGGTAACCGGTTGTTTTGCTGATCTCAGCTCGCATCAAGTCGTTCTCTAGCACAACCACGTTCTCGCTCGTAGCATGACTGTCAGCACTATTGCTTGCCTCGTCAGAACGTTTCACGCTGCGCTCAACAACCGCTCGTGGTGGTCCTCATTAGCAAAAAAGTTCAGTCACACGTTTTTACGACCGATAGTCCCATACTGCGTGCGCACTTCGTGGCCTTTTCGTGCCATCGTCCCATACTGCGTGCGCACTTCGTGGCATTTTCGCGCCATCGACGCTGTGAAATAATACGCATTACAAAAGCAGCATGACATGGTACACCAGGTCGCTCGCATGACCTCCTCGACGGCCGTGTTAAGCTCTGCTGCATCGAACGGCGAAATGCTGGTACAGCTATTGTAGTCAGTCCAGGTGTTCATCCGTTCACGTCGTAAGGGTGACGCTGGGCTTTCAGCGACGTCGTGCTTCGTCGTGTTTATCCGTGACGGATGGCATGGACTGCAGCCACCCACAAGTCTGCGGTACTTTTGTAGCACACTTTACATCGATAACTTCCGGTTCACGTATGGTCGAAAAGGTCCGACCAGTGGCGGAGCATTTGTTTGGGTAGTCCGAACACTTCATTACGGGCTTGTAGTCAGAACATGTCCAAAGGCGCGTGTGGTCGCACAATAGCCACTCCCGACCTTTCGGTTTTGAAACCCAGGTGGTCGGTCAACCTGATGGATGGAGGAATATCTGATTGTGAACGGAAACGACGCTGCATGATGTATCAACGGCATTCCGATGCATTTCGTGACGGTGGACACCATTGATCATATTCAGCGCCAGGAACGTCCGTGCGGGTGACACTGTTGCTGCCGGTGCTCGATTTGAGCGGTGACGCACACGGCACGCACATGGCAATCGCTTTTTTCGAGGAGCCGATGTATCAACAAACATCAGCATTTGCGGCATATGACACGACATGCGCGTACGCCTCCCCCCCCTCCTCCCTTCCAGCTGAGCGCTTTGAGCCAAGCGTTAGAATTTTATGCTACACTGGACACCTCAACGGCCTCTATTTCGACCGCGCGATAGCCGAAAGTCGCCACCTGGCAAAATCATTTGAGGTCTTGGGCAGCCAGGCTGTCTATGCCTGCTTTCGCCAGCTCCCCTACCCCCACGGCGCCGTATTGAGGGGGGGATGTCTCCCATCGCGCGTTCCTGACGCCCACTTCGCGATTTCCCGTGTCGAGCGCAGCCGCCACCCGACAGCGACGACCGGAGCGCGATGCCGCTTTTGTTGAGGGCCACGGCGCCCAGCCCCAGCATCGACGAGCTCGCCTTTGCCGCGACGGCCCCTCCCCTGTCGTCGCAACGCTCGGCGTCCTCGACCAAGTCGGAGCTGCCGCTCTGCGCCGCCCACGACCGATCCTCAGTTCGCCGTCGGCGCAGCACAGCCGGCACTTATTCCGAGGTGTCCGACTGGCTGCCGAGCACGGGTAGCGGCTTTGAGCACACCCGCGTGATGCGGCGGTGCAGTCGTCAGAGTCGGAGCTGCGGCGGAGGCGTTGCCACTACGAGCAAAGATACAGCGGGGGACGCAGACAAACGCTCGTCACGCGACACGCAGCTCGACGACGACGACGACGACCATTGTACCAGTGGCGCCAGCTTTGCGTCCGAGGCTGGACGCATCTCCAGTGCGCTGAGCTGCAGTTGTTCGTGTGCGGATGCGAACGAGTTTGCCATCACGTCGTCGTCTGTGGTCATCGAAGGCCGTCAACTCGCAGTTGTGGACAAGGAACTGCGCGACCTCCGCACGACTCTTGTGCGTAAGTTGTACACGCGGCTGACGAAGATCACTGGACTCGGGAGAAGGAAAGCGTCGCCTTCGAAGTCTGTCGCTTGAGGTTGCCGTTAGGGGCGTGCTGGCTGGCATTGGGACTAGCAGCTGCCGCTGATGTGGAGCAGGCTTTGTGGCGGGACCATATTGATTCGATATGGCCGTTCGCTGCCTGCTCTGCCTAATATTTAATATTCGGAGCCTTTTCAGTCGATCCGATCGTGTTGTCATACAATTTGTTTGCGCTGCGACCACGGGACTGGACGCAGAGAGACACGCCTCACGCGACCGTCTCTCCTACAGCTTGTACCCCCGACTCCTCGCAATCGTTACTAGCGTAGCTCTCGCAGACCATGCTGAACGAAAAACAGAAAAGGCCATGCAAGTGTGTATTACCCAGCGCGGAAGTGCGTTAACGTGACGTGGGAACGCCGTTGAAAGCCTCGAGCCAGAGTCTCGTCAGGCGTCTCGTCGTGCAGCAGAACGGGGACACTACGCGTCGAAAGGCTCGCGAGTGGACCGGCGGACGTGCGCTTTGTACATCATTGTCATCACCCACGACAGAACAAAGACGAGTGCGACGACGAACATAAGCACTTGCGAGCGCAATATCTGTGGCGGACAATACAAACGACATGTCACAGCAATTGGCGACGTCAGGAAGAGACGGCTCGCAGCATCGCAACAGTCGGCGCCTATGACAGACGACGTACCCGCTGGGCACTAGCGTCAGCGACCTCGGACGGTTTCTTCTGCTGCCGCCGGAGCCGCTCGCTCATCTTCGAGTAGCGCTCCCCATTGTAGATCGTCGGGCCAAGCGCCACGTCGAGACCGCGTGCGCTCTGTTTGGCGGCGCCTTTGGTTCGATGCCGCAGTTCCATGAGAAGAGGAGACGGCGATGTGTCGTGTGGTGTCGTGGATGGTGTCGTTTGTTGGTTTGAGTTTATCGGGTCGGAAGAATACGTGAAACGGAGGCTAGAATGGGTCCATTACATACCGGTATGTCCGCCTCAAAAATGTGAAGGCTAAAATGGATCTTTTTCATTTCACGAGGCTAAGACTTCAAAAATGTTAATGCTGATATGGGTCCATTTAAATCCATGATCTCTACCTCATAAAATGGAAATGCTAAATGGGGCCATAAAAAATCGGTATATTTGTCCTATAATCGGCCAAGAATTGATATTGCTATTCAAGCTCAATTTTTTAGGGTAGATTCGGACCTAGAATGTGACTGTTTTAGCTCGAAATTACTGAATGTAACGGCACTGAAACGGTTTGAGAAATGAGCACTTACCCGGTCCGTCAAGTACGTGAAACGAACACTAAATTGGGTCCACCGCGAACGGCTAAGTACGCCCTCGTTCACGTCCAGAAGTCGTGTCGTCGTTACAGCGCAACACTCTCCTTGTTTGACTTCAGTGCAGAGTTGTGAGTGAACGATCGATCGCCTTGGCCCGTCCCTCCACACAAACCTCCGCGTAGCACTCTCTTTTGGCCCCTTGCAATCGTCAACGACGCGACCTGTTAACATGAGCGGATGGTGGACAACGATCGGCCAGCCATTCGCAGAGGTGCGCATCATTTTGCTCCTTTGAGTGAGCGTGTGGGACCTCAAGGAACTCGAGGCATTCTCTGTGCTTTGTATTGATGTTGACTGGTTTGTTGTGGGCAGGCACTGCTGAGTCTGGACACCGTCAAGATCAAGGCAGCGTTCGCGAACGCCCCCGGGTCCTACTACGAGTACATTCGCTCCATCTACGAGCGCAGTCCGGAGCACGTGATCATCGAGACGTTCCTCATTGTCTTTGTCATTTACATCACTTTTGTCAAACGTGACAAGCCGAAAGGATCGGCGACGAAGCTCTCGGAGCGCGAAGTCGATGAGCTGTGCGAGGAGTGGGTGCCTGAGCCCTTGATTCCCGTCAACGCCGTCGTCGAGATGAACAAAGCAAAGCCCATTGGCGTCGTGGAGGCCACGCCCGACACGCACATCAAGTTGCAGGGTTTCGACAAGCCTTTGCTGAATCTGGCTACCTTTGACTTTCTTGGACTGGGTTCACGACCTGAGCTGAAAGAGGTCGCTATTAAAACGCTCACCAAGTACGGCTGTGGCTCTTGCGGACCCCGCGGCTTCTACGGCACTATCGATACGCACGAAATCCTGGAGAAGGACATAGCGCAGATGATGGGGACGCCCGATTCGATCACGTTCTCGGACACGGAAGCCACGTCGTCATCAGTGCTGCCGGCTTTTGCCAAGCGTGGTGATCTCATCGTGATGGACGACGGGTGCAACGACTCGATCCTGGTGGGTGCTAATTTGGCGCGTTGCACCGTGCACTATTACAAGCACAACAACCTGGAAGACCTGGAGCGTGTGCTGAGAAACGTTCGCGATGGAGACAAGAAGAAGAACCGCGGCTCGGACTGCCAGCGTCGTTACGTGGTGACGGAAGCGCTGTTCCGCAACCACGGTGACATGATTGACTTGCCCAAGGTGGTGGCGCTATGCGACAAGTACTTTTTTCGTCTCTTCTTGGACGAGAGCTTCTCGTTTGGCGTGCTAGGCACGTCAGGCCGTGGACTTACGCAGCACTATGGCATGGATGTGTCAGAGGTGGCAATCATCTGCAGCTCCCTTGCTGGCTCTGCTGCTAGTGTGGGTGGGTTCAGCACGGGATCGCAAGAGGTGGTAGACTTCCAGCGCATCAACAGCGCCGGCTACGTGTTCTCTGCCTCAGCACCCCCATTTACGTCTGCATGCTGCTCCGAGGCGATACGAATCATGAAGGACGAGCCAGAGCTGTTTACTAAGCTTCGCGTCAACGCCAAACTCGCGCACGATGCTCTGTACGCGGGCGTGCAGGAACTGTACAGTATTTCGGAAGCTACCGTCTCCCCTATCGTGCATTTGCGTCTGCTGCCCGAGGTTGTGAGTCGTGTCGGCAGCGAGGAAGAACAGCGGGCTGTACAGCGCAAGGTGTGTGACGAAGTCATGCAGAAGTGTCTTGCCAAGGGCGTGGCAATCTGCTCGCCCCGTTACAAGACTTACCAGACGCTTGAACCGTTGCCTAGTCTGCGAGTGTCGGTGACTGCCATCCACTCGCCCGAGGAGATCGAGGCGGCGTGCAAGGTCATCGCGACGGAGGCCATGTCCACGGCCAGGCAACTGCTCGCACCCTCTCTGGCGGATGTCGCCCCTGACAGTGAACTGCGACAGCGCAAACAGTAACCGGCAAAGCGCTTAGCCATTTCGAGAAGAGACCATACCCATTATCTTCTATGTCGATACAATGCTAACACCGGTGGCACGTATCGGAGCCGCGCTGAAGTATTGTGCAGTCAGTCACTTGGCTCGCTCCTCCTCCTCCTCGGCCATGCTCCGCTCGCGCTGCTGGCGGTACTTTTCGAACTCCTCGTCATTCGTGTACTGTTTCAAACACGCGTTGAGTGCCCTGTTATGGTCGCGGCACCTGAAGACCATCATGAGACCGTTGGCCTTGGAGCACTCGGCGAACTGCTCGGCGACGCTGCGGCACTTGGCGATAGCGATGTCGCTGAGCTCTTGTTTCAGTTTCTGTCAGCAACAACGTCATCGTTAGCGGCAAGAGAGAAGCAATGGGCTGGTTCGAGAACGACGCACGTGCTCAGCCTGGTTGCTCCAAGACAGACGTGACGAGCGAAATTGAGTCTTTGCCGTCTCCTTGTCCACAGGGACCTCCATGTTCGACGCTCAACGAGGTTTCTGGCCCCTCCCTACTGCCACACTACTGACACGCCCGAGGTACACTACAGTACATACGATGCTATGACGTGCAGCACACGAATTTGTTCAGTGTCGACTTGTAGCCTTAACATTTGGAATAGAAAAAAACGCACCATTTGTTCTCAGAGACTAAAATGCACCACGAGAAGGAAAATATACCAAATGCACCACATGACAAAATGACAAATTCTCACAAACGGTGTACACTTGACGTCGGAGCAACACACAGTTGGGGTCATTTGTATATATCCACATATACTTTCTTTGCTTTCGCTTTATTTCGCTATCAAAATCTTCTTGCACTTGTTCTGAATGCACACGTCACGCAATCTGTCCAGTTTCGTGATGACACAGTTGATCGGCCGGTTGCTCGATTCGATCAGGCTAATGCGCTTGACGTGATACATCTCGGTAAGGCGCAAGCTTTCAGACGCGTACTTGCCGCGCTCTCTTGTCAGAGCCTCGTGAAGCCCTGCGAGCTCAGCAGCATGTGTCAAAGTCGTGTTCGTTTGCATTTGTGCATAGTAGGATGAAAGTAAAAGTGAAACATGTTAAGTGTTAGCTTCTTTCAGTTGACACTATCCACTATGAGATTCTCCTGCACTGCAACTTGACCTGGTCAAGTTGCAGACGGCGTGGGTCTAGTCCGCACGTCTCCGTATACTTGTCCCACATGCCGGCCGTATATTCCCCTTTTCAATCCCCTTGACCGCTTGGTCGTCCAACGTAGCGCCCGTCTCTCGTCGTCCCATATGTCAAGTTGTCACAATTACAACCAATCAGGTGAGCTCGAACCTTACCTGTAATAAATCTTTAAGTTGACACTTAAACCCTTGATAACCTGTGTGAAAGAGATCCTATCAACAACATGTACGTCGCGCTCTATTGCTAGGATCTCCTTGAGCTCTGCAATACGCGTGCGTAGCATGGTCTCGTCCGCTAAGGGTCATGATGTCTGTGCGAATGCTGGCGATGGTCATGCGCCGTTTACGCTAATCGTCCTGCTTTTGTCTGTTTTGCACATGAAGGTGGAGAAAATATGAAAAAAGAATGATTCAACGCTTCATTGGGGCACTCTAACCAGCGCACAAATTTTGTAAGAAGAGGCAGTGACGCGATACTACGCTAAATCTGCGCTGGTAATGCGCAATAGTGCATAGTTTAAGCAAGATAAATTCGGCAAAAGAGGTACAATATTGTGATAATCAGAAAGTTGCTAAGCCTTCCTTGGAAAATCACCAGCTATCGCTCTTTCGGCAAGAGTGTGGTTCGGCAGGTACTGACATTCGTCCCCATCGATATCCATAATGACCAAATATGCAATTATCGCCTGTACGCTGCTCACCATGAAAGTTCAAGGCGCGTCTTCTGTGGGGAAGAGAGTCCGGGCCTTACAGATAGAACCCAAGCCGATTCCTTCCGTGCATTTTTGCCCTCAAAATAGCGGGGTGTACCCTTTTGGTTGATTACCTCATTAGGTAGTGTGTGATTCACCACGGGAATATTCACTCGATATTCAGTACCGATCAGACCTTATCAATTTTCAGTGACTTAATACTTGGTTTCAGTACGTCCATTACTTCCATTAATTAACGACTGAACTTCCACGAATACAACCCACAAATCGGATCTACGATGTGGGTGCTTCTAGGAGCCGGGGGCGAGGGAAGCGAAGATCTAAGACCATACAACCCAAGACAGGTTCGAGCTTATCTTTCAAGCGCTCTCAGTGCATTGCTGCCCTATTCAGCAGAAGATGTAAAGACAAAAAAGACGCCCGATCAAATCGGCGACCGCAAGCGTGTCCAGCCGATCTAAAGCGTTCTTACTAACAGAAGCTACATCGCACGTTGGGAGAATGCCACAGTTCTCGGTGACAGTCCCTCGTGTGGCCGCTTAAGCGACCTTCCGAGCTGGATGTCGCGATCACCAAAGTGATGAAGGTGGCGTGGGTTACGCCTTTAGTCTCATAATCGTGCTCTTCGTGACAGCTTAGCAACCAATCGAACTATGGGGCTGATACTTGTCAGCCATCGAATTGGAAATTCTCGAATAGTGCTGATGTAACGGGGCACCGACAGCTACGTACTGGTCTACCAGTACGGAGTCAACTTTCACTAACAACAGTGAAGGTCAGTGTCGTACAATCTATTTCACTAATACAAAGGAAGATAAGCGACAAACTTTAAGCCTCTAGTCGTGATAAAAGTAATTACTGTTATTTGATACAAATAAGTCCTATAACTCTTGTTTCTCTGTTTGTCCTGGCTTAAATTTATCAATCTAACTAAACGTATGATGACGTCTACTCACCACCCATTGCGCGCGTCTAGCAGCGATTGGTTGGTTGATATAATCACAATATCAACCAATGAGTAGATTCTTCAGTCATCCCAACAATATCACTATACTTAGTGATATTGCCAATATAAATTTTTCAAAAGAATACTCAACGTTATATTCTTCATATGCCATTTTCTCCTTGACTTGCACTTTCACGTAACGGGCTACCCCGTCACAGCTGATGTTGGACAAATTATATACCATATTAGGAATGGTAAAGATAAGGCGTTCATTTTGATGAAAGGTAATAAAGGTCAGCTCACCTTTTGATATTGTACGATCCCTGCTTTTCTAATTCTTGACTCCCGATCAATATGAGTAAGAAGTCGTTGCAAGACAAATACTCTAGGGCACTTAGTGCCGTGATTATTTGTCCTAATTTCCTAAATCACTAGACCTTCGAGCAATAGGAGTAAGGCTCTAAGAGCTCATGCGACTATAAGTCTAAATCCTTTGGTTGTTTGAATATAAAAGGGAGCGCTATTAGCCTTCAGTTTTCGCTAACGAGCCTTCATTCTATACATCAAACAAGTATTGGATATGAAGGTCTTTAAATTTTAAATTAAATCGTTGTACTTTTAAGATATATCGTTTATTCATCTTTTATCATCTAGTCATTCGGACCCGTAACAACCTTCCTTAAAAGGTAAATGAAGGCCTTTAACCTCTCACAGAAGAGCTGTTTGAGTGTTCGACGAAGACCACCACGTGCTTGACGAGATGACACTGCCGGAAGGCTGTGTTACAACTATTAAAAGGCAACAAATGTAGGTAACCGCAAGTACGGTAAGATCAAAGCAGTAGATCTACAATGCTCATGCAACGGCCGATGGCCTTATTCTGGTACAGAGTCAGGTACAGCGCCTCTTCGTCAGCGCGTTGGCTCCAGCCGCGCCACTTGATGCTCCTTCTCAGCCACGATCACACGACAGCAACGTCAAGAACAACCAGACCAGTTAATAATTAAAGTCACTCATGAAGGGCATAACAATGATCCATTCGTAGAGATCAAGGTGCATCCACGTATACGTGCTCTGACGGAATATCAAGAACAATCGGTGATTGCGAGTCTGAGTGCAGGCATCAGCGCTGGTCGCATCATTGCCTACCTTCGGCAATCTGCTATTGTAAGTGTTATTGCGCGCAATATATACAACATTCGCGCAAATGAGCGCCGCAGATTGTTAGGAGGAAGGTCTCCGCTTACATACTTGCTATATAGTCTAGCAACAAGCAATGACAAAAACACAATGCGCCCAACTCGCGCAATTTGATGCTGAGCAGCAGCTTCGAACCTATTTATCAGGTAAATTATGCCTGTTTCAGCGCAAGTCAGATATTACTGATTGACGCAACTTACAAGACCAATCGGTTCGGACTACCTCTACTGCACATTGTACGCTTAACTGCTACCAATAATAGCTCCGCTTTCGCCTATTGTGATATGAGAAACGAGACAAAAGGCGACTACATCTTGGAGATTCAAAACCCGAGGCGATTATTCACGATGTTTGACATCGCTACACCAAAAACATACGTTGGTGATCGCGAGATGTCAGTATTGAACGCGCTCGATAACTACTTTTCCTTTGCGAGGACACTGCTTTATAGATGGCACATAAACGAGAACATTACCGCCAAGATGCAAAGACATTTTGACTTTACGAAGGAGTTTAAACAATTACAGCTCACGTGGAGTTGCTTATTACAATCTCAATCAACGACAGAGTATTAAGTCAGCTTGTTGTGATGAAAGTAGATCTACCATCTCATGCAATAAAGTATTTGGATGATACTTGTCTGGTTTGCAAAAAGATATTCGTTTATTGCTACTTGCATGGTTGTCTACATTAGGCCACGTGACAACGTCACGTGTCGAGTGGCACATGCGGCTATCAAGAAGTGGTTTAACGGATCCACAGGTAAGTAGCATTACTTTGGACTTAATGATATTGGTAGCTCGGCTACTTAATTTTATTTTTGCCCTTAGGTGATCTATGGTGTAGCTTATCTCTAGCGTTGGTTGCACGGCCAACTTGCTAAATTCAGCGTCGAAACGAAAGGGAAGCCATCGTTAAAATACAGATAGGACCTCTGTTTGCAGGATAAATGGGCAAGATTTC